CAATACCTTGCTGTGCCGCATTGGCTGATACATATAAGATACCGATACCATCTGTTTAAAATTGTTGTGTGTGTGTATATATGAAGAACTGCATACTACTGTAAAATTGTTGCCATCATGCTTTGTCAAGCTGCTGCCTAGCTTTGTGAAGCAGGAAAAAGACTAATACAAAGTGACTCCATTAGAACTTTTTATTGCCTACCTGGAATGGGTGACTTTTGGCTCTCAAAATCGTATAGCTACCCTATTTGTTGGTACTCGCTGATACCGATAACACCACTTTAGTGCTGGATCGGGGTCCTGCCCGATACTGGTATCGATACATCACTAATGAAAATTATAGATTCACACTGAAGGCATCAAAACTATGAATCAACACATGTGGAATTATATACTAAACAAAAAAGTGTGAAACAATGGAAAATATGTCTTACATCTAGGTTCTTCAAAGTAGACACATTTTGCTTTGATTACCGCTTCGCAAACTCTTTGCATTCTCTTGATGAGCTTCAAGAGGTAGTCAACTGAAACGGTCTTCCAACAGTCTTAAAGGAGTTTCCAGAGATGCTTAGCACTTGTTGGCCCTTTTTGCTTTCACTCTGCGGTCCAGCTCACCCCAAACCATCTCAATTTGGTTCAGGTCCAGTGATTGTGGAGGCCAGGTCATCTGGCGCAGCATCCTATCACTCTCCTTCTTGGTCAAATTGCCCTTACAGTACACAGCCTGGAGGTGTGTTTGGGGTCATTGTCCTGTTGAAAAAATAAATGATGGTCCAACTAAAGGCAAACCGGATGGAATAGCATGCCGCTGTAAAATGCTGTGGTAGACATGCTGGTTCAGTATGCCTTCAATTTTGAATAAATCCCCAGCAGTGTCACCAGCAAAGAACCCCCACACCATCACACGTCCTCCTCGCTTCACGGTGGAACCAGGCATGTAGAGTCCATCCGTTCACCTTTTATGCATCGCACAAAGACACAATGGTTGGAATCAAAGATCTCATCAGATCTGGACTCATCAGACCAAAGCACAGATTTCCACTTTTCTAATGTCCATTCGTTGCGTTCTTTAGCCCAAGCAAGTCTCTTGCTTGTTGCCTGTCCCTAACAGTGGTTTCCTAGCAGCTATTTTACCATGAAGGCCTGATACAGTCTCCTCTTAACAGTTGTTCTAGAGAGGTATCTGCTGCTATAACTCTGTGTGGCATTGACAGTGTTGGGACTAACGCGTTACAAAGTAACGCGTTACTGTAACGGCAGTATTTTTTTCACTAACTAGTACGCTAACGCGTTAGTTTCTAAATTCAGTAACTCCGTTAACATTACTACAAGATGCATTACTGCGTTATTTTATAGTCTCGGGATCAGCTAGAGACTTAAAAGCTGCAGGAAAGTATTGTCTACCTGTGTGGGAGTGAGGGAGACAGGAAGGAAACATGCTGAGGGCGTGTTTGTGTTTACCAACACTAGTCATCATAGCGGCTGCTGCAGAGCCCAAGTCGAGTTTCTTCACTTGGAGATATTCTCATTAATTTACAATTTGTGCCTTGGATCAAAGATTCTATCTACAACCCAGAACAGCAACTGTAATTGTTGAAACACCTACAAAAGCAACATGCTGCGACGAAGCTAGAAGCTACGCGACGAAGCTAGAAGCTACCGGTGTCGTGCCAAGGTAGTTATCCCTGGGAAAATTTGTATCCCCTCGTCGGGAGCNGCCTGGAGGTGTGTTTGGGGTCATTGTCCTGTTGAAAAAATAAATGATGGTCCAACTAAAGGCAAACCGGATGGAATAGCATGCCGCTGTAAAATGCTGTGGTAGACATGCTGGTTCAGTATGCCTTCAATTTTGAATAAATCCCCAGCAGTGTCACCAGCAAAGAACCCCCACACCATCACACGTCCTCCTCCATGCTTCACGGTGGAACCAGGCATGTAGAGTCCATCCGTTCACCTTTTATGCATCGCACAAAGACACAATGGCTGGAATCAAAGATCTCATCAGATCTGGACTCATCAGACCAAAACACAGATTTCCACTTTTCTAATGTCCATTCGTTGCGTTCTTTAGCCCAAGCAAGTCTCTTGCTTGTTGCCTGTCCCTAACAGTGGTTTCCTAGCAGCTATTTTACCATGAAGGCCTGATACAGTCTCCTCTTAACAGTTGTTCTAGAGAGGTATCTGCTGCTATAACTCTGTGTGGCATTGACAGTGTTGGGACTAACGCGTTACAAAGTAACGCGTTACTGTAACGGCAGTATTTTTTTCACTAACTAGTACGCTAACGCGTTAGTTTCTAAATTCAGTAACTCCGTTAACATTACTACAAGATGCATTACTGCGTTATTTTATAGTCTCGGGATCAGCTAGAGACTTAAAAGCTGCAGGAAAGTATTGTCTACCTGTGTGGGAGTGAGGGAGACAGGAAGGAAACATGCTGAGGGCGTGTTTGTGTTTACCAACACTAGTCATCATAGCGGCTGCTGCAGAGCCCAAGTCGAGTTTCTTCACTTGGAGATATTCTCATTAATTTACAATTTGTGCCTTGGATCAAAGATTCTATCTACAACCCAGAACAGCAACTGTAATTGTTGAAACACCTACAAAAGCAACATGCTGCGACGAAGCTAGAAGCTACGCGACGAAGCTAGAAGCTACCGGTGTCGTGCCAAGGTAGTTATCCCTGGGAAAATTTGTATCCCCTCGTCGGGAGCGCGCACGCAGTAGGACGAACAACCCGACTTAACTCCGCCTCAATTCCAACGTGCAGGACTTGAAATTTGAAAGGTTTTACGTGTACGAAAGTTGAGCTTTACTGTTTTATTCTTTACTTCACATGTTATAGCAGAATATCGCCAGTGATATTGATCTAAAACTAATAATAAATCACAAACGTTTGCTTGAAAGCTGGTCGCTGACAGCAGTGTCTACTCCTTCCTCTGAAAGCAAACAGATCATTGTTCTTTTCCATATGTTCATTAAAAAAATCTCTCATTGTTTCAGTGTCCAAATATTCTCATCCCATTGAAATCTGTTGTAAACCATATACTTGTAATAAAAATGAAATAGAAAATGGAGTGCACGTGTAATCATTAAAAACTACTGTATATGCAGAAGGAAATAATTTTTTCCTGGTTGAAATTTAGTACTTAAATCTATATTTGTGCTTTATATTAACTTACAATTTATCACTGTTGTACTATCCTTAAGAAACAGTTTGTGTTCTAACATCAGCCGTTTTATTTCATCCCATATTGCCAGAATTGGCAATATGGGATGAAATAAAACCTGCTGTAATCTTTTCCCCCTGTCTAAATCAGACAAAAAAGGTCCCAGCTTTTTCATTTTTGACTTATAAGCATCTTTTATGATGACAATTTATTCCTGAAACTTTGGAGGTGATGGACCTTTATTTCTTAAAGTTATAAGGGGGGAACAAATTATAGCAGGCCACCTGCTGTAATCTGTTTCCCCCTGTCTAAATCAGACAAAAAAGGTCCCAGCTTTT